CCTTCCGGTGGTACAAGAAGTCGTAATACTCCCTAGCATCCGTAAGCTTGTCCGAGGATTTGGCGTCTTCAGAAGGCTTGCTCTCGCCAAGACCAAGTCTTGACTTGTGCACATGGGTTCGCTGGAAACAGATGATATCTCCGTCCTGCAACTCCTCGGCCTTGAGAGTTTCCTTGCCCCGTAGTGGTTCCACCATCGTTGGCTTGATCTCCTCCCACAGCTGAATCTTCTCTCCACTGGGGAGTTTCTCGCCCCAGCCCATCTTCTTCAGAATCACAGGGGCCAGATCCTCGACCTTCTTGTCCAACCTCACGTAGACATGCCCGGCTCCCCTCAACGTCTGGCTCTCCACGTCGAACCATTTCAGGAACAACAAGATGTTGTCCTTCACAATAGCGCCATTAGCTTGCGCCTGATGCGATGGCCAGATGGGTTCGCCGTCCGCGTTGACCTCCTCAGCCACTTCAGCCCACACACGTAAGGACTCATCCCGTTGGGCAGTGGCCTTGGAGTAGGTCTCCTCCACTGTAAGCGCAAGATCCATGATAGGAACGTCCGGGCGAACTGTCTTGTTCTGACGGTTAACCATTATCCACAACCGAACCCGTCTAGGATCTTGTCCAAGGTCTGCTGCAATTTTGGCGACCAACTGCTCCATGGTATCCTGGCGAAGAACACGGTAGTAAATTGGTGCCCCGGGATCTTGGTCAGGAGTCAGGTCGAAGTAGGTCAGATCGGTACCGCCGTGTTGCTGGAACGTCGTGTCGGTGACGACCTTTACCCCTATGTAAAGGTGCTGTTCCTCCCTCTCTTTGCGTCGGGCTTCGCGAGCAGCCAGCTCCTCTGCGAATCTGTTGCGGAGATGTGGAGGTGTGTCCTCCTCGGTAACCGGGGTAAGGATCTGGTCGACTCGGGACTTGCGGATATACACGAGCATGTATGCGCTGTTGGGTCGCATGATTGGCGTCTTCTTTTGGGGCAAAGTCCTAACTTGTCCGTTCGGCAACCGGAAAGGACCGCCAAAGTTGTCTTCCAGGACCTCAAGCTTCCTGGCCTTGGTGACTTTGTCATCGTCGTACTTGTACCAATTTCCGTCCTTGGTGGGCTTCAAGAAAGCGTAATAGTGGCCGGTGTTAAGGTCTCCACTGTGTACCAGCACGCCATGAAGCTCATATTCCCAAGGTTCCGATCGGTCGGCGTCTTTCTCAAGGAAGGGAGCGGCATCGAACTCCTCGGGAAACTCGTAGCGAGCATTGATCTTCATCATCGTGTCGCGCTGAATGTCGTATTCGAAGCGTTTCAGCTGCAGATGCAGGACATCGGGAAAGCTCTGGAAGATGACGCCCTTGTTGGCATCCTGGAGCTTGTACTCGTCGCCAGCATAGTACTGGTTTTCACCGTCCAATTTCTCCACCTGGATGTAGTCCTGGAAACTCTCCAGCAGATTCTTATTGCCGCTGACGTTGAGTTGGACGTCCCAGAAATCCTCAACTCGACTGGATTCGTACGGAACGTTGATGCAGGAGATGAAAGTCTTGATCTTGCCGCTGAACATCTGTGCCAGGGCTTTCTCGTGTGGTGTGCCCTTCATCTTCTCCTCCATGCGTTCCATCAGTTTCCGCGAGAGTTCCTGGACGTCTTGCTGTTCGAAAATATGACGAGTTTCCCATCCAAAAGACTTGGTAAGCTCACTGGTAGCCACGGCGGTATTTGATGTTTGCAACTGATAAAAGAGTCGTTGTAGAGTATAGGCGCTGTTCATCATGCTCTCGTCTTGCTCGGTAGGAATTTGGTAGATAATCTGCAAGCCAGTCAGCATGCGGGCGGGAAACAGAGCAAAAAGGAACAAGATGTTGGTCTCTTTACCTTGCGGAAAGCATTGGTGAAATAGAGCGACTGTAAGAGTGAGTTCAAATAACAAGTGGCGCCCTGGTTTTTGAGGCCAACGTAGCCTGTCTCCTGCTTCGAATCGTAGTTGTTGAAGTTGTGCCACAAAACTCCTGTTTCATCCTCGACAATCCTGACGTAGGCGCTGATGTTGACGCTTTCGTTTTCGCCGAGAGGACGGGTTGAACCGTCATAAGGCTGGCTAAACAGCCTCCGGAGTTCCAAAAACCGTGTAAAACCCCAATCGCTCTCTTCCTTGGTGAAACGGTGATGGGCGGAATGGTGGTGAAAGATGGAAGGGTCGTTGGGATTCCATAGCACGAGCGCAAACTGAACGCAGCAGCTCCATTTCTCGGGCATCTCGTCCGCCTCGAATCCGTGTTCCAGGTATATCGAGCACTGGTCAACATTGTTGCCATATGGGAAAAGAAGAATCCGCCTTTAAACAGTATTAGTATCTTTAGCAGATTTCAAGGAACCACCGAGAGATACTGACCATGGGAAGCCACCAGCATGGAAGGTGGGGCCATGCTCCTTCTTGTTGAGGTTGCGCCAACCTTTGATCTCCCATGTGTGAACCTGGTCCTCAAGGATTGGGGGTTCGTCGATTAGGGCTGGGAGAACATGCTCTTTCATGGTTTTATCTAAAGCAGCGTCAGTTGCAGAGCTCCGAGGCAGGATGGAGGGTGCAGTGTTGTCCAACTCACAGTCAGTGGCGAGGACAGGAGCCTCCTTCTCGTCAGCCTCCGGGGTGATGATTGCGACATCGTCGTTATCGACACCGTTTGGTTCGACAATGTGTTCCTCGGGTGTATCGACCAGCATAGCGTTGGGCGAGGGGGCTTGGGGGTTTTGGTCATCCTTATTGCGGATAGGCAGATTAGCAAGGTAGTCAGTTCGCGGGGATGGCGAGCGGGAGGGAGTCAGAAGAGCGTGGTTAGTGAGGTTGCCCATGTTGAACACCGAGGGGCAAGTAGAGGCGAACAACAGAGAGGAATGAGACAACTAGACAAGCAATGGCTCGCGGGAAGACCGGGTGCATGGGAAAGGTAGATGTTGAGGTCGACTTGTTCCCTGAGCTGTTGAGGAGGATGGAGGGGAACCAAAAGGTACGCGGGTGACGTTCGGTAATGGTGTTTCTGGTGCATCAGGACACTCACCATAATGCCAGTGGACTACAGTAGCTGCAGACCTAGGTCGGAGTTGCAGGAAGTTGCGGATCGCGCCGGCAACGGGCGTCTTGAAGTGACGACTGTCGACGCAACGTGGGCTAAGCCTCGCTCCTTTCAAGCAGTGAGCTGCGTGGCCCGGTGTGTGCTCCTTCTCTTTTGCCTTGGTATGTACTGCGACTTTCGGCAGGCGATGTGGAGTATTCGGGGAGGTTTGGATCGGTCGGAGTATACCTCTACTCTCGAACGAATGACTGACTAGAGGTAAGAGCGCAGGTCGTTGGGCAGGTCGGAGAGGGGATCGATCGTGGTTAGGAAAGCAAAGAGGATGAGAAAGGGAAAGAAAGGTTGGCGATATGGTGGAGCAGCACAGGCAGGTAGAACCTAGGTGGTGGTGGTGGACTCCGGCTGTGGTGGTGGACTGAGTCCCGTCTTGGCCTTTCTTTGGTGGATGCAGGTCGTGCAGTGACGGGAGTGGCAGTGAGGAAGTCACGGTTTCTTTCTTTCTTGTCTTGTCGAAACGGACTTCTTCAATAGGTCCCGTCGCCCGCCGCGGTTGCCGGGCCGCGCGTTGTGAGTTGTTGAATGGCAGCAATGTATGTGGAATGTACCTCTAGGCATGGAGTTCGAATTATTGTTAGCTCCTGGCAAGACCGCAGAGCGCTTCCTCTTTACAATCTACCAGGCACAACCGGTACCTCTACTTGACTTCATGTTACTGAATTCCCAAGGTATCGTGGCCAAACCCAAACTCCTTGGGTCACAAGCAACTCCCTCTGTTCGACATTCGATGGGATTATTGTTACGATTGGTCCGGGCTGGATCACCCCGCGCCCATCGCAGGTGAGGTATGTGGATGTTGGTATCAGATCAGTATGTTTGTTAGCCAAGACTTGAGTGTCTATCGCAAGCTGGGTCAACTAGCAAGCAAAATTGTTAGCGTCTGATATGACCACTATCCGCCGCCTTTGACAGACACAAAGGCTTCCAAACTTAATGACGTGGGAGCCGAGAAGCCCGTTCTGCCGTTGAAACCTAACTAGCTGGTCCGTTCGTGGCCTCGGATCTCTTCCTCCAGCTCACAGCGATGTGTTTACTGTACATTCCACCAACACTGAATGAGACCCAGAGGATATTGTCCTGGTGATAGGAGGGTACAACTACCTCTAACAAAGCTCCAGTCTGTTTGTATGCGCTTTCCAGACAAACAAATGATTATTTGCCAGAACGTTTACTTTTGATTCCTCATGCAGTGCTAGGACGTTCATCCGGTACTTGGACATACTTACATATTAACGAGGTGCCTGCCCTGATGAAACTCGAGCTTCAGGGCACAATTCTGACACGTATAGGAATGGCCTGACTTGCTTGATGCCAATATCTGTCGTGGCTCCGTGACTACATGTCGGGTCACTGTTCATAAACCAAGCATATGATCCACGGCAACCTAAAAAGGCTCTAGGCCCCTGACCCTCATCCCGCGCCCGCCTAATGTAAACACTAAACCAAGCTCGTGATAACCAGCGGGGCCCCCATATTCCCTGGCCCAGCCCAGGGCCTTGAGCTAGCGTACCTAGAGGTGCATCTTGCTCCGATTATCGCTCCCCAACCCTGACAACCACGACCTCTACACTAGCCCCAATTCCGAGTCCTTTTTCCTCTTTTTCCCAAAATTACTCTTTTTCGCATGGCACTGACGGTATGCCGTGCTTCTTGCTGCAAAATGCCAAAACGCCCGTCCGGCTGATGAGCACGGCGGGAGACCTGGGCATGGCGGCGCGAAGGGGAAGCCGAGGACAGCTCCTCCTCAAGTGGGCGATGACTCGGAGCTTCAAGAGCTCTGCTTCAGTCGTAACACCAAGACTATCAGCACCACCAAGCACACGAACGATATCTCCAACCCTCCAGACTCGATCTACCCACAGCCAAACCAGTCCGAAATGGCGCCCAGTATCTGTTCTGGATGAGTATGTGCACTCCTGCCTTGCCTCGGAATCACCACCAGGAGCTCAAGCTTACAATGTCGTCTCTTCACTTACAGATGGGTCGCAAAGGAAGCTCGACCGATCAGTTTGCGCCAGCTGATGGTCTTTGGTCGCTCGCTGACCGAGTCGAGGTTGATCAGCTCTGCCAACTATGTGCGAACGGAGCTTCCGACGAGGTAAGTTCTCGAGAGTCATTCTCGAGGAGTTACAATATCTAACCATGCCACAATCGACAGAATCGCCCACCGTATCCGCGACATGCAACGCCTCCCCTACGTAGTAGTCACCAACCCGCACCTCAACGAAGTCTACGACCTCTACTACACAGCCTTTGACACCTTCCGCAAGGTTCCCGAGATCAAAACGCTCGAAGACAACGACGCCCTATGCGCCACCATTCGCTCCACCCTGAAAGCGCACCTGACCGTGATCCCCAAGCTAGCCATGGGCATTTTGGAGAGCGCAGGGCTCATGGACGCAAAGGAGCTAGACAAGTTCATGAACACGATTTTACGGTCTCGCATCTCGCGCCGCGTCATCGCCGAGCAACACCTAGCTCTAACCGACACCTTCCACGCTCCCTGGTTCTCCCCCGGCGCCAAGCTTTCGGAAACGGATTTCATCGGCGAGGTGTTTTTGAAGTGCGTCGCCAAGGAGGTCGTCGAACGGTGCGGCCAGGCTATTCGTGATATCGCCCAGCGCGCCTACGGGCCCGACGTGGCAATCCCGGAAATCAAAATCGACGGACACCTGGAGGCCAATTTCCCTTATATCCTCAGCCACCTCGAGTACATCATCGGCGAGCTGCTCCGTAACTCGGTGCAGGCCGTGGTGGAGAAACACCAGCGTTACAAGGAGAAGGTAGCGGCAGCCGGAGGGAAGACCGACGAGATTGGCCCCCCGCCCGCAATCGAGGTGACAATCTGCGAAAGCCAACAACACGTCATCATCCGCATCTCGGACCAAGGCGGCGGCATCCAGCAGGACGTCTTACCTTACCTATGGTCCTTCAGCAAGGGCCCCTCGAGCCAGCAGCTGCTGACGAACTTGGGACAGGTGCCCAAGATGGCGGCGACGATGCAGGAGCTTAAGGTCGAGGGTACCTCTAGCGAGGAGGCTGGAACAACGGTGGGCAAGATACAACAAAAGCAGCAGGAACAACAACAGCAGCAACAGCAACAGCAACAACAGGTCAAGGGCATCCACAACGGGAATAACTTCCCCGGTGACCCGGGCTACAGCAACTCGTTAGCGACGCTGACAAGCCGCCCGCCGAACCTGCGTCTGGGCATGGGGTTACCCTTGAGTAGGGTGTATGCTGAGTACTGGGCTGGTAGCCTGGCGTTGCACAGTCTGGAAGGGTACGGGGTGGATGCGTTTTTGCAGATCTCGAAGCTGGGGAATAAGAACGAGCAGCTGACGACGCGGGCGACGATGGATGCGGTTTAGAGGACATCCAACTAAGTGGAAGTGACATGGGCGGAAAGGGAGGAGAAAGGAATAATACCCATTGGTTGTTGGCTGCATGGTTCAGTTCAGAAGAGCAAAGGAAGGGCATCACAGTGACCTGGTGTAATGGATCTGGGTTGTTCCGCGTGTGTGCAAAGTTGGGCTTGGTGTACGGAGCAAACACTCGTGTTTTTTACGCAATATCGTTAGCTGGGCATGATATGGAAATAGCAACTCACCGTTGTAACGCGTTCGTGTATACTACCCTTTTCGGTCCGTCACCTTCATGAATGTTATCGACTCTCAATCAGAATCACTACAGTCATAATGTTAAAGCTTGTAGTCAAAAGTGGCAGCCTTTCTCATTATTTGGTATCATTGAAAGGGAGACTGCTAGCAGAATTACATCGTAGCTAAGACGGATAGAAAAAAAATTGGCGTGATGGGTAAAAGTTAAGGGTGAAAAGGGGTGGTAAAGTGTCAGTTGCCGCTCGAAGTCTTCCAAATATCTGTAACTTTTCATCCCCATCTCCTGGGCCTCCCTGCGCGACTCAGGGTATGCAGAAAGGGTTTGGGAAGATGGGGGAAACCAGGGCATGTGTATAAAAACATGAGGAGCCGCCCCTTCTAACAAGCCTCGATTGATGACCACGCCAATCTACCAACCCGCAGCATATCCATGAACATCGTCTTCAAGGTATGTAAGTCGCCTAGTTCGTCTTCACGTAAACATGTCGAAAACAATCGAGGCGCAGGTACATTAGTGCTCGATAGAACGGGAGACGGTGGTCCCCCTTGTAGTGGATACCACAAAAGCCATGATAACCGCTTAGCGGCGACCGTGGCTGCGGACGGCATTTCCCTGCAGAGACTCGAGCTCCATCTCGAGGGACTTGATCTGGGCGTGGGTCTGTTCGAGGTCCTTGTTGAGACGGTCGCGCTCGGCAATAAGCTTCTGCTCCCACTGCCTGAAACGCTGTTCCTCGATCTTAACCTGTTCTGTGAAGCGTTTGCGGAGAGCCTCCTCTTCCTCCTTGAACTTGGGGTTGTCGAGCTTCCTTGGGCGAGCCTCGCCGAATTTGCGAGTCTCCATTTGCTGGGCGCGGTAAGCCTCGTAGTGCAGCTCCTCTGTTGTGTGGATAAGGTCCAACATGTGGGTGCGGATAAGAATCGAACGGAGCTTCTTGAAGTCGCAGTGTTCCTCGTTCTCGACCTCGGCAACACCCCACGAGTACTGACGGCCCTTGACAATACGTCCATCGCTGGTCTTAACATCCTTCTCGGAACCGATAACGGCAAAGGGCATAGCGGCCATCAAGCTGCGGGCGTGTTGTGCGGCAGCCTCGTCATCCTCCTCAATAGGTGGCTGATAGATCTTGATACCCTGAGCTTCGATGACGGCACGGATCTGGAAATAATTGTTAGCAACGATTGGGGATATGGGAAGGCAAACAGCAAACACTCACCCTGGACTTGAACCTCGCCAGGTCGGCAGGGCTGAGGGTGTCGGCCTTGGCGATAACGGGGATGAGGTTGACGCGAGAGCAGAGTCTCTTCATAACCTCGATATCTAGAGGCTTAAGGGTGTGGCCGGTGGGGCGGATGAAGTACAAGCAGGCGTGGACACGGAGATCGATCTTGTCCTGACGGCGGGGTTGTTGCTCCTGGAGCATGTAGGACTCGTGCTGGTCGTCGAGGAATTCGATAATAGGCATCCATGAGTCGCGGTTGTTGACATAGTCACCAAAGCCGGGGGTATCGATAACAGTCAGGCGAACTATAAGCTGGTCAGACAGAGCTCTCTTATAAGACACCAAAGCCCCCTTGCGCAATCTGCTGCCGTACCCTTGAAGAACTTCTCTTCGAGCTCAGCCTTTGTGATTTCGATCTCGACGGTCTTGTCGACCTGCTTCTGGTGGCGCCTCTTGTGGTCGGCATAGTTCTTGATGGTCGTGGAGAACAGCGTGTTGATGAAGGTGGTCTTGCCGAGGCCGGACTCGCCAGCAACCTATCCATCCACGCCGTCAGCATTGGTTTACAAATATGAGGTTTAGCAGGCTTTGGACGGTGAAGCGCACCATAATAGTAAAAGCAGCGCCCCTCTTAGCAACAATCTTGTGTCGCTGGTTAGGCAGATTGGCAATGCCAATCGGTGAGGCGCTCTCGGTAGTGGCAGGGGCCATCTTCAGCTGGGCGAAACACGAAACTGGGAGATAATTATGTGTAGAGGATTAAGTCACGATCCCCGTTGCTGTAACGGCGAGTAGAAGCACCGGCAATTGGAGAAAAAGAGCGTCGGGCGGGATGCGTGGTGTATGTGGTGGTCGTGGATGGGAATCGAAATTAGGTTGGTGTTGACAGTGGACGGGTGGGAGCGAGAGACAGACGAGGATGGAACTGCAGTGGTGGACGGGGACCCGTCGTGGAGCTCTGTGCTTCGTTCAGGGGAATTTGCCTGTTCAAATTTCCAGACCCTTCATCTGGCCCAACCCAAGGAACACAACACGCCCACGCGAGAGAGCAGCGACGGAGACGGGAGCGCCAGGCCAAGCCCACACCAAGCACTCCAGGCACTGCAGGGCCGCAGACAGAGCAAGCAGCATTTCCAGTCCAGAGGACCAGCCGCCTGTGACGAGAAGGCGCACGGAGCACATCCATATTGGCACCTTTGAGCCCGGCAGTCTGCAGCAGAGCTGCCACGAAAGGCCGCTCTTGACTGGCTGGGCTGGAGGGAAATGAGTGGAGCCTCCCCTTTTCCACTTGCTTCCCCAATTCCCCAGAGACGCTGGCAAGCTCTCCACTGAAACGCGCGCTTGCCAGGTTCCCTCGCCGAGAATTTAATCGATACGTGCCTTCCCTGCTAGCGCCATGTTTGCGGTGATCAGCCATTCATTGCCATTGAAACTTTGTTGATTGCCAGCTCTGCCAGCCTTGCACTGTACATGTGACCGTGCACCGCTGGTCGGTCTGCGGTCGGTGAGGCTGCCAGTCATGCCAAGCCTTTTGACAGCTGGTGCCGAAGCGAGGAGCTAAACGGACTCCATTCCCCGCCAAAAAGTTCATGAAATTTTTGGCTGGCAGAATCGCCATTGAACGTACGGGCGGTCTAGGCGCAACAGCAGCCTGTAACTGAACTTCTGTTCCACTTATACAGACTCAAAAGAGTCCTCCAGTTCCTGTACATAATCGAATCCTCAGATACTATACCAGTTCGGCGCAGTCTTCAACACCGAAAGTCGAGGCATGGAATAGTGTTTGACAATGAAGACCGACTTCAAGTTTTCTAATTTACTGGGCACAGTCTACTGCCAGGGCAACCTCTTGTTCAGCCCGGACGGTACCCATCTCTTCTCGCCCGTTGGCAACAGGGTGACAGTCTTTAACCTTGTCGAGTACGTCTCGAGATTCCTATACTTGCCTGGCGCATGGCTTGTAAGCTGGCTAACATAGTCGCAGTAACAAATCATATACCCTTCCCTTCTCCCACCGAAAGAACATCGCGCGCATCGGTCTCACACCCCAGGGCAACCTCCTCCTCTCCATCGACGAAGATGGCCAAGCTATCCTCACCAACGTGCCCCGGCGCGTAGTACTATATCACTTCTCCTTCAAGGCTCCAGTAACGGCTCTTTCCTTCTCGCCTTCGGGGCGCCATTTCATTGTTGGACTCGGTAGGAAAATCGAGGTCTGGCACGTTCCTTCGACACCCGACTCCAACGCCGACGGCGAGCTCGAGTTTGCGCCCTTCGTTAAGCACCATACCCACGTCCAACACTTCGACGATGTCCGCCATATCGAGTGGTCCCACGATTCGCGATTCTTCCTCACATCTTCCAAGGATCTTACAGCAAGGATATGGAGTGTCGATCAAGAGGAGGGCTTCACACCTACGGTCTTGTCCGGTCACAGGCAGGGTGTTGTAGGCGCATGGTTTTCCAAGGACCAGGAGACGATTTACACAGTCAGCAAGGACGGCGCCGTTTTCGACTGGCAATACGTTGCGAAGCTCGGACAGGACGAGGATATGGTGGACGATGACGACCTGGCGTGGAGGATAGTCAACAAGCACTATTTCATGCAGAACAGCGCCACCGTACGATGCGCCGCCTTCCACCCCGAATCGAACTTGCTGGTCGCCGGCTTCTCGAACGGTATCTTTGGCCTCTACGAAATGCCCGACTTCAACATGATCCACACTCTCAGCATCTCCCAGAACGAAATCGACTTCGTGACGATCAACAAGAGCGGCGAGTGGCTGGCGTTTGGCGCATCCAAGCTTGGTCAGCTCTTGGTGTGGGAGTGGCAGTCCGAGTCGTACATTCTCAAGCAGCAGGGCCATTTCGATTCGATGAACTCCCTCGTTTACTCTCCGGACGGTCAGCGAATTGTCACAGTTGCCGACGATGGAAAGATCAAGGTGTGGGATACGGAATCGGGATTCTGCATTGTCACCTTCACAGAGCACACTAGCGGTATCACTGCTTGCGAGTTCTCCAAGAAGGGCAATGTCCTGTTTACCTCGAGTTTGGACGGTTCTATCAGGGCGTGGGACTTGATCAGATACAGAAACTTCAGGACCTTTACAGCACCCGAGAGACTGTCGTTCTCTTGCATGGCTGTTGATCCTAGTGGCGAAATCGTGGCGGCTGGCTCCGTTGACTCTTTCGACATTCACATTTGGTCTGTCCAGACTGGCCAGCTCCTAGATCGTCTTTCGGGACACGAGGGCCCTGTAGCATCGCTGGCCTTTGCGCCTAACGGCGGTCTTCTTGTCAGTGGTAGTTGGGACCGCACGGCCCGTATTTGGTCCATCTTCAACCGCACACAAACAAGCGAGCCTCTCCAGCTCAACTCGGATGTTCTCGACATTGCCTTTAGGCCAGACTCTCTCCAGATCGCCATCTCCACTCTTGACGGCAACCTGTCGTTCTGGTCGGTCTCGGAAGCTGAGCAACAAGCCGGTCTTGATGGGCGCAGGGACGTCTCTGGTGGTCGCAAGATCGGTGACCGCCGGACTGCGGCCAACGTTGCTGGTACCAAGGCTTTTAACACCATCAGATACAGCACAGACGGATCATGCCTTTTGGCCGGCGGAAACAGCAAGTATATCTGCTTGTACTCCGTCACCACCATGGTTCTCCTGAAGAAGTACACTGTGAGCGTCAACCTTTCGCTCCAGGGCACTCAGGAGTTCCTCAACAGCAAGCTTCTTACCGAGGCTGGACCACAGGGTCTCCTGGACGAGCAAGGCGAGGCTTCCGATTTCGAGGACAGGATAGATAGGTCACTACCCGGCTCCAAGCGTGGCGACCCCTCCGCGCGGAGGAAGAACCCTGAAGTGAGAGTAAACGGCGTCGCCTTCTCCCCGAACGGCAGTGCCTTCTGCGCCGCTTCCACGGAAGGTCTTTTGATCTACAGCTTGGACACCACCATCCAGTTCGATCCCTTTGACCTCAACATGGAGATCACCCCCACCTCCACCTTGGCTGTGCTCGAGAAGGAGAAGGACTACCTCAAGGCTCTCGTCATGGCCTTCCGCCTGAACGAGGCCGGTCTGATCCAGCGCGTCTTCCAAGCCATCCCTTACACCGACATCCCTCTCGTTGTCGAGCAGTTCCCCAGCGTGTACGTCGCCAGGCTACTGCGGTACGTTGCCGCGCAGACCGAGCAGAGCCCACACGTCGAGTTCTGTCTGCTGTGGATCAAGGCTCTGGTCGACAAGCACGGCGCGTGGCTGTCTGCCAACCGCGGCAAGGTCGATGTCGAGCTCCGTGTTGTCGCGAGGGCCGTGTCCAAGATGAGGGATGAGATCAGGAAGTTGGCCGATGAGAACGTCTACATGGTTGATTACCTCCTCGGGCAGGCGAGCGCTGCTAAGGAGACTAATAACACCAAGACCCTGGCGCTTGAGTGGGCTACCACCGGCTCGGATGAGCAGCCGGGCGCTGGCGGTATGAGCTTGAACGATGTCATGCAGCAGAATGAGGAGAACCCCAGCGAAGACGAGTGGATCGGTTTGGAATAGAGTCCGAGATCCTAGAGTACTATAGGATTTCTGTAACGGTAAGGAAGGGTACTACTACATAGGATAGGCGCTGATACGGAAAAATTTTTGTCGAGGTGCAACCGGCATTCTAGATTATAACTTGTACAGATGATTTTGATACCAATTCAAGGCAATAGAGAAAAGAGAGGATTTTGGGATACAAGTACAACGCCAGGCGAAACTGTGTGAAAGCAATGCTAAGCCCTCCTAGTCCAACACTCGTGGATTGCTGGGTGCCTTTTACTCGACATTCGGAATTTCCACCCACGCCTCATCGAACCCACAGCTACGCACCCAGTTTGGTCCTGGTGCGAGGACCGAGTCGACGATCAGGTGGTAGAACTTGTTCCAGTAATCGTCGTCTCTCGTCTGGTAATAGAGCTGGCAAATCCGTGCAGCTCGGGCAAGCTTGATGCTATGGCCGTCGTCCTCAAAGAAGTGGAGGTTGGAGATGATTTCTAAAGAGTCACAGTAAGTAGCAGTTCAAAGCCGAGCGGAAGAGGATGTATTCCTCAACTTACCTTCAGGAGTCCCAGATGCCTTCTTCTCCTTGGGCTGATACGAAGTGATAGCATCAAGCGACAGCTCCGGCGCTCCACGCGCCGCATACTGGACCAAATCCATCCTGATCTTCCACTCGAGTAGACGGACCTTGGTGTCGAGTGATATCCAATCCTGTGCGTTGACGGTAGGGAAGAATGGTGCTGAGGTGACGTGATGCCTAAAGAAAGTTCGTTCGTCGGTCAGTATCAATCTTCCTGTCCAGTGTAGTCCAACTCCTCAAAACCTACCCCTGAGTTCAGGGGTTGCGATGCGGTGCGTTCGTAACCAAAACACCAACAGAACAGAAACCAAAGCAAAGACAACAAAAACTCACATCAAAAAGAAATCAAACCTCGGCATCTTCTTCTGATCCCTCTTCACAAACGCCGCCGCGCTCGCCATAAACACCGCCGCATCATACATCTCCGCCGTCCTCTCCTGCAACTCTTCCTTTCCCACCTTGACCTTGGCCGCCAGTCCGATCGCCTCCTCCTTGGCTCTCTTCAACACTCCATCCCTGACTTTATTCGCATCACTCATCCTCGCCGCTTTGGCCAACTTTTCGTTTCCCCTTACTCCCTTTTGTAACAAGTCTTCCACGATCCTCCCCATATCCTCCGGTTTGTTGGCTTTCGCGGCCTCTTCGGCTCCAAGAAGAAAAACACCAATCTCATCCCCATGCACCGCCGCCTGCGCCAACCCCTCCGCCACGATCGCCGGCTGTCTCCATTCCAGTCCGTACATGAGCTGGATCAGCGGATGTAAAAACCCGCTGTAGAGTCTAATGAGCAAGTTATCCGCTTCCGGCGTACCGGAGAACAGGAACTCATTCACCACCTCCTCATACCCCAACCCTTTTTCCTTTCCCTCTTGCTCCTTGCGTGCCGCGGCGGCATCCATCTCCCGTTTAAAAAACGCCAAAAAATCAGGATAATACTCCTCTTTCCCCAAATACTTCCCCGCATCTTCTTTCCAGTTCTGGATCAGATCGGAAACGACTTCCTGGTGCTCAGGTAACACAGGACGTTGATAGGAAGCATTAACGTCGTAAGCCTTTTGCAGCGCCTCAGACGGCGCAGAGGTCCCGTAGAGAGCGAGGAGGTGGTGGGGGATGTGGTTGTGGAAGCCGTCCTTGTTAAAAAAGACGTGGTGGTGGTGCATGTCGGATTGGAGGAGGTGGGAGAGGAGGGTGGAGGCTGTGGGGGATTGAGAGGGGGGGATGGTTGGGGATTTGGACCAGAGGCCGGTGTTGGAGGGGGTTATGTGGATGCGGTGGGGGGTTGCAGTTGCCCCTTCGGCGGGTGAGGGCGAGGAGGAGGAGGAGGAGGACATTTTGGCGGTTGTGCTGAGGGTGAAGTGGTGGCGGGTGGTGATGATGATGGTCCTTAGCGGTGGTGGTGAGCGATGGATGAGGAAGGCCTGGCGAAGGAGGGATGTTTTGGTCCCGGTTGAAGTGAAGGGGCGCATTCACGTTGATTTGTGGAAAAGTGTTGGCCGTGAACGAACAAATGAGGTTAGGACTTCTTAGATATAGTTGGATTATATGCCTTATAAGTCTGGTCGTTGTCGGGAGGACGTTGATTATCTAAGCCAAGAGTAATGTTGTGTTGTTCGATTCACGAAGGCCGGTTGCTGTGGTGTTCGCACATCAATGTTCCGAAGTCCGAATGCGCCTATTATCGGTTCTCCGCACTGGAAAGACAACTCTTAGGTAACTGTTTTCCGTCCTACGCGAGAGTGTAGTAAGCCTATGCTACTCTTTCTTCTTTCGTTGATGTTGTTGTTGGGGGTGAAGGGAAGTGGAATTGGCTGAGCGTATCACGGCTACGTCATTGATCCCCTTTCAGCCATACACACAGATCAACCTACCTCATACCCTTTGTGACCACCCGCCTTATCCGCACCCTCCACTTAAGTCAGTTCGTCAGATTCTCTGAAAAGTAATAGCGTTTTCACGATTGAAGACTTCATATATACTGTGTAGATGCTATTATCATTAGGTTTAATATTGTATGTGATACTGCCTTCTTTTCAACTGTCATCTCACTCATTGCTCCCTTCACTTCCGTGCTTTCCATCGACATTAATCCCAAGTGCACTCCTGTTCCCAGACATTATCATCTCCATCACACATTCCACGTCAAGCATGAGTTCATAGCCAAAGCTGCCCTATCATACAAGAGGAGACGCGAAGCAGTGTCAAAAGTAAACATGACCGCTCCCAAGCTTTACCAAAAAGCCAACAAGTCTCAAATCCTGGAGCAAGACAAAAAAAAGCAACATGCGCTGTTCCTAACTACCTAAGAATGGGTAGTAAAACCATCGATCCATCCATTCATCATCGATCCATTCATCAGTTGCCCCATTTCCCACGCTCCTGTATCCTGTCTAACCAAAGTCCCGATTTCCGCCATTGTATGTTTCTGCTTCTTCTTCTCTCTCCAGCTGAGTGTATATGTATATGCGTTATGCTGTAGATGAACATACGGTTCATCATTTCTCTATATAAAACGGGCATCCGAAGGTGCTGTTAAGTGGTCCCTCCCTCCTCTTCGATTATTTTGGTAATTCTTCTACGCCTGACGTCGATTAGGGCTACGGTTCATCTGTCTTCTTGAAGCCTGTTCCTTAATCAGTCTCTCAGAAGTGACTTCATCATACCCGATAACTTGGGTAAGGTAGTAGTATCTGTTTCGACGTGTTAGCATGTTTCTTTACATCAGAAACTAAAAAGAGGGTAAACTCACTTCTCAGCATGCGCCTCCTTAGCCCTCAAGTCCTCCCACAGCTGCTGACACTCCATCCAAGCCTGGGCCCTCCTCTTAGGATCGATCCTCTTCACCAAGAACCTAAACCTGCCGCTTACCGGCCTGTGATCCGACACCCGCACCTCGTGTCTCCTGTAGTCCAACTGTTCTATCCTGCCCCTGCCGCGGTACAAGAGTCTGTCGCACCAGGCCGGGCTGCGCTTCTTTTCACTTGTGTCGTAGTTATCCGTTCCAACGTCGTATTTGTACGTTGGCGCGAACGTGATCGGAAGCTCGTCAAAAGCTCTCAGCCGGAACCCGGGGTTCCTCCTCTTGGCCACAAGCAGCTGGTCACGCTCGAGCAGTTTTGTCAGGTTGCCCTGCTTGACTGCCGTTACTACCGTGTCACGACTCATGGTGTCGATGCGGTAGTTGAGATCGCCGTTGAGCACACATAGTTCGTGGTCCAGAATCATGGTGCCGTCACCACCGCCGACATAGCTGTCGATACGCACGGCGGGGTCACGCTCAGATGGGAAGACGGACGCATCCAGGATTGCGGCTACGTCGTTATGCCGCTGGTTGGCGCCTGATTGACCCGCAGCCAAATGGCAGTTGATGAAGCAGAGCGAAGTGTCGTCGACCAGGAAGCGCACCACGATGGCGCCCTTGTTGCCGTGTAGACCACCCAATCCGCGCTTGACCTCGTTGCTGCTGAGATTGCTGATGCGTCCGCGTAAGTCTGCCTTGACGAAGATACAGGTGAAGAGGCCGACCAGGGGAGAGGTGTGGAGCAGATGATACAAGTCGCCCTGCATGTAATCATCCAGACTGCGAATGAGGAAATCACGCCAATCGCGATATTGGTGGCTCATCCGCTCTTGATCCGACCCTTCCTTCTTCTTTGGCTTCAGGAATCGCTTTGCTGTGGCTGTCTTGTCCTCCAGGTCCACAAGTTCCTGGAATCCAAAGATAATGATGTCGGGAGAGTCGCTGGTCTGAAGGAGATCCCTGAAGAAATTGGCGTCCGACTCGGAATATCGTAGACTGTGAGGAGTCGAAGCGCCCGCGTTCCACGTCATAATCAACACCTTCAGATTCTGAAACTCGCAGTATTCCACGTCTTTCCTCTTCATTTCGCCCTCAAGCCAGTCCTCTTGTAACAGGGCGTCCCAAGTTCGTACCATGTTATCTGCTCCAAGAGAGACAACCAATGACCGGTCAAGCCTGTAGGAGCTCGAGCAATCAGCCATCAACTTGATGACGGGGTTCTCGTGGGCTACCCATTCCTTCTTGACAATCCAGGGAGTTTGCGTCACGTCGTAAACAGCTACCTTGCCGTTATTGTATCCAGCCCATAGGTACGACCCGGCTGCGGCGAGTGAGTTGATCTTGTACTGGCTGACATTCATTACACACTGGCATGTGTAGTCTTGCCTAGAGTAGACGCTGACTTTTCCGTCACTATGGCCGAAATAGACTCTGTCCGGATCAGAGGCAAGCAACGTTCCCGATATCACCTCGCCAGCATCTTGCTGACAAAGGGCCCTCAAAAGAACCTGAAACTGGGTCTTCCCGTCCACAGTGGGTTTGAAGACCCGAATATCCTTCCCTGTGGCGTACCATAGCTCGTCTCCCACCACCATCGAGAAAGTGTGACCTCTAGGTACTCGGAAAGACTGGCTTGGTCCGTTGGAGAGGGTCGGGGTGTGGCTCTCGTCCGGGTCCCAGACATTGAGGGCTCCGCTTTCGTCCAATGTCCATACTTCGTTAAAATGCCTGTATATCCTTATTATCTCATATCGGCCATGCGCATTTGGTAGACTGTCCGTGATTCTCTGCGTGCCGATATCCGCCTCGAGCAGCTCTCCATGATTGTTGCCGATCCACACCTTTGTGCCTTCGTCGTCGACGTGCGCCCCTGGCTTAAACATGACGGCCGTTCCCTTTTGTCCTTCACCCATGGACAGGCTCATAAGCAGTTCGCCATCAAGTAAACTCCACACGCGTGTAAAACCGCCAGTGGTGCATACGAGTTCGCCGCACACATCAAGCATCCTAGTGTCGTATTTCGTGTAAATCTCATGAACGCCCTTGCTGATGTAGGGTTTGCTCCGGTTCGTGTTCGTTGCGTCAGGATATGCCATTGTAACGGTTGGCCCGGCGTTGGCTGTCCTGGATGAAGTGACTGGAACCGCTTCGGGAATGCGATCGATGGTAGGAGCGCTAATCGGGGTTGGCGGTGCGCGGAATTCGTTAGGAACGCGGTTCGATGTCCTATCCACAGTCATGGACCTAACATGAGTTCTGGAGGGAATCGAGGGCTGATACTGAGTTGGTGTCGACACTATTCGTTTTTGCGATATACTGCCGGGAGGGTTTGGATCCAAGTTCGTGTTGACACCCGGCTTTGGAGGGCGCGGTGGCGGCGCCATCATCATCCCATTGAGTGTGCGGCTTGTCTCTATGATGCTCTGCGGGCGAGCTGGGAGTGCTGGTGGTTGGTTCCCGCCTGTCAAATGCGGCCTTAATGGGGCCCTAGCACTGCCATTTTCCTCTTCCCTGCCCCGCCTTTGCCGTGCTACTGAAGGATGAAGGGGCGGTGGTACAAAGCCCACGTGAAAGGTCCGCGACCTCTGAAGTCCCTCCGGGTTTGGTTCCCTCTGTTGTTGCGCCCTTGGTCGCGCGGGTAGCATCGGCGGGGAATCATCTTCGTCAGGTGTGCCATTGCTACTAGGCGGACTGCTGAAAGGCGAGATTCTTTCCGGGGTACGAGTCTTGATATCCAAGGCTTGGCTTCTCTCGATCTGAACCGAGGACCGCGAAGGAATTACCGGCTTTTCCGCCCTGTTAACGGGCGGCGGGACCGGTCTGGGCTTTTCAACGTCCCGGGGCCTTTGTAGTTCACCCGATCGTCGAGGAGGGGGAGGGGACGGAGGCTGTGTAGCGGCAAGTCGAGGCGATTTTTGCGGATCGGAGGTAGCCGGCGTAATAGGACTCGGTATCTTGAATTGCTTGCTAGCGGTGGCAGGCGACGCAGCTTTAACGAGCGAATCGGCCTGGAGGAAAGAAGGGCGCTCCCCGACCGCCACACCATCTACATTGCGGCTCGGTGGTGATTGGGGCGGTTGAACGTTGAGGGAAGGAGGTTGCGCCGGTCGAGGACCTAACGAGGATACCGGCGGAGGCACGCAACGGATTGGCGAGCTAGAATAACCAGTACTAGCGACACTGACACCAGTGTACTGCGGCTGTAGAGCCCTGGGTCTCGTCGGGATGGCGGGGGGTTCGCGTGCCCCTGAAGGACTCGGGTCCCGTAGCCGGTCGGGCTTGGGCGCAGGGGATGTCGTTCTGGCGCTGGAAGTGGATGATTGCTGGGTGTCGCCAGCCTTGTTCATGTTTTCGAATTTCGCCAGGAGCGACGAGACTGGTTTCTAGTGCAGCGGTCAGTCAGCCTGTCCTTCCATGTGGCCGCGTCTACGGTATCCGGTGCCCGACGCCTATAGCGGACGGCGCCCGGGTCCGGATCCGGGGAAGGGGGGCCTCCGGAGACGGGATAGACACTCACAAGGGATGAGCCATCAG